TTAATTAAATGAAATAAACATAGAATATTAACTAACACCCGGTATATTGAAGAATTTTGCAAACCAAAAATAATATTCTCAGAATTCAAAGAAAAATCGCTGAAAGTAAAAGAAATCAATATAAACAATATTTTATTCGCTTTGTGTCCAAAATGGACAAAATTAATACTCCAAATGTATGCCAAGGCTTAAAGCAGCAACAACGCTACACATGTAAGTAAAAAAATTTAAATATCTGAACAAAGAATTCTAGTCTCTTCCCAAATTTGATTGTCCTGACTAATCACCTGTTAGGCCTAATTAATTTTAGAATGTTTTAAAGTGTTGCAATTGTGATGTATTTTAGTGTGTGATATGATGAGGCTGTTGACGAACTGTGATTGTTTTTTAAATTAATGAATTTTTTTTTTAAACTATGTTATTTTAGAAAAACTTATGATGGTGGAAAAATACACCGAAACGTATTTTAATTGATAAACAAAGGCAATAAATGACTGAAACCCAGGAATTAATTTTGATTTGCAATTGAAACAGTCAGGAAAGTATATACAATGAAGCTTAATGTTAATAATCTCCAATCACATCCTTTCGGTTTCATGAACCAGTTGCTTACCTCTATCTCTGGAAGATTCTAGAGGCATCAACCAGTTGAAGAAAACACGTGAAGTGAGCGAATCTGAGGGTATCAAAAAAAGCTGAATTAACGGTCTGGGAGTATGGAATAAATCAGAAATTATTGTTCGATGCGAGCCACTTCCTATGATGGAGTTGATTGTTTTGCTGAAAGTTGCGTATGCGTGGCTAAATTTTGTGATGGAAAAAATATTAAAATTCTAATAGGCACACCTGTCGGTTTAATCTCAATCAAATCCCCAACACCCCAATCACCGAACCGCCCCGGGCAGTTTCCGCAAGAACTATCTTTTCTTGCTCGCCCAGGGCCTTTAAAATAAATCCCAAGGAGGGTTCGCTTAGGAGGGGCCCCCAAGATATCTAATGTTCAATCTTGGAGTCGTTATTAGGGCACTAGGTAATATACGCGGCCGTCGGGCTATTCTGTCCTGCTGCTGATAGGGGAAGACGAATCATCATAAGTTTGCAGGTTTTCTAAGTCGAAGAAGTAGTTTTGCTGTGGTATGGAAAATTTGATGTTTGCCCAAAAGTATTAATCGGGTCAATAGTAAATAGGATGTCAACTAACAATGCAAATTCTAGCCCCCGAGGATGAGAAGTTTATGCAATCGAAACAGGCAGGATATTTGAAAATTAACTGTGGAGAAGACTGTGTGTTTGCTTAAATCTAATTAAGTAGCTGCACTGTGAGACGATGGACTTTTACATCAATTTATAAATAAGATAGTTACAGGATATTTCTGGTTTTTGTCAATGGATGATTAGTGAGGTATAATTAGTTATCCATTTTTCTGATGACGGCAGCAATGGTTTTCTGTTAGTGAAAAAATAATGCCGACAATATAGTGGAACTTGCGAATTCTCACTAATGTTTTTAGCATTCGCATAACAACTGTTTGACTGTTTCGGTTGCAATAACGCATATATTGATGAAATGGTACAATTAAACGACTGATTTTTTTGGTGTCCCTTTGAAGCTGAAAAGTTGGTACTTTTGTGTGCTGAGATTCTGCTAATGGTTCCTCAAATTGATGTAAAAAATAATTTCTTTTCACCTAAAATGTACAGACTGACCTTTGTATGTCTATGTTTGTCGATTAGGTTTTTTTAAGTACAAGGTTTTTTTATGCCTTGATTTTTCCTAAAAGTAAGCAGGTAAACGGAAATTTTACGAATTTTTAAACGTGTACGGAGAAAACTTCTTCAAAATGTTGCTTGAAAAATAAGAAGAAATATTATTAAAATTGGTTCGCCGGGATTATTTTTGATTGCAGATAACGATTTTTGATCTGAAGCTTTTTAGCGTCTGAAACCTAAGAGACGAATTCAATTCAATCTTTTGCTAACATATCGCAGGTTTTTGAAACATTTCTAAGATGTCGGAATTTTGTTAGATTTTGTTTTCAAAAAGAACCGTGGCTGGGAGACTGTTATGCGGCAAAAAACGAAAGAAATATGAATGTTGATGCCGGATATTTGGAAGTGTTAAAAATGTAATTTTTTCATCTTTTTTGCGCAGTGGAAAATAGTCGGTTTTTTTCTGACCTGACCGATTTAAGAAACGAATTTGCCGGCACCCAAAACATAAAAAAACTATACGAGATGTCTACATGTAGGATTTTAATTATATGTTATTATTTTACAAACTTCTTTTTGGGTATTTAGCCTCAAAAAATTTTTTTTGCACAGACGAGTTATCAGAGCGAATTTTCATATACTGTATTATCCTACTATTGTTACACAATTTATTAACATACTCTTTTTTAGGTTCATTT